AAGGGATGAATTCAGTGAGCCCAAATGTTTGCTTCCTCCCATACATAGAAAAGCACTAAATTCTTTAACTTGAGGTGCCTGGTTTTCTTTAGACAACAAGAAATCTTTTATTGTTCCAACTACCTGGTCTTTGTTGTAAAGCTCCTATCTACCCTATCTTCTCCTCTACCTCTTCAGAGCAGTCCCTTAGAGTGATCTGAGAGGCTGTCATCCCAGCTTGAGTCCTCCCACCAAAAAAAACATACCTCTTAACTTTTAGGCTGTGCATTTATTTCAGTCGACACCAGGAATGACCTGGGAGAGGTTTTATGAGTCTTTAAGGAAAAAAAAGAAATCTATAGACAAATTACTGAAAGTAACTTCCATCTTTCCTGGGAAGGTCCTCTTTCCAATGTTTAAGGCTCAGTGACAGGGTGTCAAGTTGCTTAACCAGTGCTACCTCTCCTTTCAGCTCCCTGCAGCATCCACCTGTGGTAACTTAGACACAAGAGGGCAAGAGAGCTCTTTGCTCACACCAGCTGGGCTTCACAGGCAGTGGAGGGAGAGAGAAACAGGCTGCCCTGAGGCTTGGGGGGCCTCCAGCCACAGCCAGAGGAGCTGGGGGTTTTCAGAGCGGCCCAGCAGGGGAACCAGGCAAGGCCACGTGGCCCAAGTCTTCCCTGCCCAGAGAGCCCCCGAGAACTGCTCTGAGCCCCACTGCAAAAAGGCTGCCTGCAAAAAGAACTGAAGGATCCACAACTGAGAAGGGAGGAGGATGGCCATTTGACCTGGGGTCCCAGCAGGTGTGTCCTGTGAGGCCTGGGGCCACACATCTTCTTTGTCTCCCCAGGTCTCTGAAGTTTCCGTGCTGGACACCCTGGTGGGCAAGAACACGGAGACAACTCTAAACTCTGAAGAGAGAGAGAGACTCTTCTGGAAGCAAGGATTCCAGGGAGATGCCTTGCCCAGAACTGGGGGACTGTGTCCTGAGCAGACCGCCGGGAGGCAGTGTGGTTCTGTGGGGTCCTCTTCAGGGAAGGAAGCAGACGTGATTCCTAGGGGGAGACCCTGCTTTGTCCAGTTATGTCCACAGGTGGGACTTATTTATAACCGCCTCCCAGTGCACTTGGGGGTGGCCCCAGGGGTGGGGGCAGAGGAGGAGACAGAAGGGGCAGCCTTATGGCCACCTGGCCCCAAACAGGGTGCCAAGGGTCAGTAGGAACATCTCAGGGGTCAGGTGCAGGGGAGGAGGATGGACACTGAGAACATGCCAAGTTGTGCAATAAAGTGACCCCTGACCATGAGACATGGGTGGCCACCCACCCGAGGAGGGAGATGGAAATTTAGACCCAGGCTCTGAGAACTCTGAGAGGGGTTAGAGGGTCCCAGGACCCCTAAGGAGCAGCTCTCCTGGCGGTGAAAACACCCCAATACACATATTTCTCATGGATGCTTTTTGGGGTGCAGAGTGAGTTACCAGGATCCTGGACTTAGTATGAAATCCTACCCCCTTTTTCACCATGATTTCTGGCAATAAAGTCCTGTCATTCATCCCTGGACATGCACAGGGGAGCTGACCACTGTGGAGGTCACTGCAGGATGGGTACCTTCTGGTGTGGGCTCTGTGACCACAGAAACCCAGGATTTCTTAACAGGAGCACCTTGAGACTGTGCCTGCCAGGACCACACTAATGAGATGGCCAAGGAGCCCGTGGGATCCAGGCCACCAAGTGATTCAAGTTGTCAGGCTCCTTGGGGGTTTCCTGTGGGGTGTGCAGATTCCTGTGGTCAGCACGTGGGCCTGGCACTGATGGTCTGCCCAAGGAGGGGCCTTCCCTCCTGATGATGGCTCATAACACCTGCAGAGAAACTGCTCCCGGGGCTCCTGGAGGTCCATAGTGACAGCGTGGTGAGGCACTGTCCTGCCAGCCATGTGTGGTCACCTCCCCCTGATGCAGAGGCAGACCTCTCCCCCTTGGGGCCCAGTGGGCACCTGGCTCTGGTCCCGCCTGTGTGCCCTGAACACACAGAGCCCTGGAGCTCGGCACTGCCTGGGGTGTGGTTGTGTCAGGGCAGGGAAGGCCCAGGGTGGAGGCCCATTCAGGGGCAGGGGCCACTCTGCAGGGATGCTGGACCTGGTGGCTATGTGGTGCTTCAGAACTCCCCTGGGCTGGGTTCACAACCTGTAGGGTGGAAGCTCCCCTCCTTCCTGGGGGGAAATAGATTCAGCTTCGAAGTCAGCCCTCAAAATGGAGGCTGCATTACATCCATTCCTATAAAGAAAAATCAGGCCCTTCCAGCCCAGGTGACTCAGAAAGTCATTCAGCAATGTTCGAGGCCCCAAGTTTAGGCTTTGAGCTAGAGCTGAGCGGCTCAGTAGGTCAGATCCCTGTCCGTGGCTCCAGAAGTGGGCTTTCTGCTGGGGCACAGGATCCTCACAAACACCTGTGTCTTGTGGGACACTCCCCTCTGACCAGCTGGAAGGCAGGGTGCAGTTGTGGGAAATCGTGTTTCCATGAGCAGAGGGCCACCAAGTGGTGGGGGCACAGGAGACTGTGAGAATGAGTCCCGCAGCCTTTCTGGAATCAA